CCGATCTCGGAAGCTAAGCAGGGTCGGGCCTGGTTAGTACTTGGATGGGAGACCGCCTGGGAATACCAGGTGCTGTAAGCTTTTACAAATAATATTGCCTAGACCTGCTCTGTTTGAAAGTTTCCTGAGATAAATTCTGTTATGGTTTGCTCCTATAGAAATAAAATTGAATTGAACTGAACACACTTCAGAGTTAAAAAAAGACCAACAGAATCCAAATGCATGACTTCAGAGGCAAAGAAACAGTTTAACAGTCTTTACTTGAAGATATTACAAGGATGCAAAAAAGTCCAGGCAGGGAAACAAGAATCCAAAATACTCAAGCTTGGCCAACAATCAGGATCAGAAAATTACAGGTAAATACTGACGCTGGAAAGCTAAGGCTGACGGCACATAGACAATCTGGCAGTGGATGTGAACCAGTATATATGCTGGGAGCTAATGAGGTAATGAGGTGATTGTGGTGAACAGGTGAGGTGACTCTAATCAGAAGACTGGCTTGAGGGAGTGGCTGGGTCTGAAATGACTGTGATTAATTAATTAATGAATGTCCTTAATATGAACGCCACAAGTTGATATCTGGTTGTGACTCCAGTATGCAGAGCGTGTGGAGGTCAATCTATTCTAACAGTTTCCATGTGTTCACATAATGCTCATGCTTATGGCTGTCTCAGGTACATCCATGCTGGCCAAAGTCTGAACAGCAGCATTACCACCACTGGGTGTTCAGAAGACCCTGAGCAGCACGTGGATTATCTGGAGCATGTGGTGGTCAAGGTCCTGGTTGTCCACCCGCGACGAGGAGACCTGGAGATCAACCTCATCTCTCCGTCTGGGATGAGATCACAACTACTGGCCAAGAGGTGAGAGTGACACAAAGGCCTATCTTTGTAGTTGAATCTATCCATGCAGATGCTGCAGTTTCAGTTTTCATTAAGTGTGCAGAGGTTTGGACAGGCTTCGCTATTGAAAACAGTTCACAGTGAGGTCGGTGGATGACAAGCAAATGAACAAGAACCCTTGTAGGTCTTTTATCCTCTTTGCTGCCCAAACTAATCTCACACCAAATAAAAGGAAGCCACAGAGCCATTCCTTGATGAAAAATATATCTTCCCAATTCTGTCGGAGAACATGATGGAAAGCATGTTCAAATTAAAGCAGCACCTCATTCTAGAGGTGAACTCTTGTTTCTACAAATGAAGGTCATTTGTCTTAAGTTTGATCCTAGTCCGAGTTTGCATAGAAGTAGTTTTGTTCTAATTATTTTAGCAATTATTATTTTAGGTCTGACTATCCTCCTCCACTCAGGCTCTCTAAGTCTAACTGCCACGTATTACCATTGAGAACTCAGTAATGTCCCCAGCTCGGAATGCAAGGAACCTGGGTGTGACACTGGATGACCAGCTGTTCTTCTCTTTCTTCATGCTGCGAATGACTCAGACCCATCCTACATCCAGGACATGGTCAAACCAAATACCACAGCCCATCCACTACACTCTGCTACTGCCAATCAGCTTGCTATTGTCCTTGAGCAAGATACTGAATCCCAAATTGCAGCCGATGCTGTGCATCGGTGTATTAATGTGTCTGAATTAGTTACTTTCTGTTTGTGATGGGCTTTGCCATCACTGTATAAATGTGTGTGAATGGGTGAATGTGCACTTGCCAGGGCTAGTTTTTGATGCTCTGATGATCCACCAGAACCTGCATGCTAGTGCCATGTTTGGGAACTGTATGTAAATGCCAACAGACTGGGGGAGAAAATGCTGTCAGCCATTGTATTAACCAGCTACCACACTTTAATTCAGTTGAATTCAATTTTATTTTGTATAGCACCAATTCATAACAGAAGTATATCTCAGACCACTTTTCAAATAGAGCAGGTTAGGGTTATATTATTTATATTATAGTTACAATATTTACAGAGACCCAACAGTTCCCACCATGAGCAAGCACTTGGCGACACTTCACCCTCTACTGTCTTAAAGACGGTTATATGCATCTTCACTGACAGTACGAGAATTAAGTGTTGGTGACTGGGATGACAACCAGGAGTTCCAATTGGCTTATTGGCAGTACATCTTCTGGCAACATAGGTCATTGGTTCAGGGAAACAGGCTTGTTCTCTCTAGCTGCTGTGTCTGGCAGATCAGGGACAAGTGCCTCGGGGCCAGTAAACTGGTTTTCTCCCTCACCTCTCAACAGTAAACTCTCTTTTTCTGTTGGCATTCCCATGCAAACCTTTTGGAGCCAGGTGGATCATCAGGACATCATAACACCCAGCTACCTCAATTTGATTTATTTATTGTTATACTGAAGATCCTTCTTGGTTTAACCTGATTTATGTTTATACCACTGTTGTTTGTTTTTGGAGTTATTAAAGAACACAGAAAGCAATATAAAGTGACTATTGGCACAGGTTTGAGGCTCCTACTCCAGTGTAAATTCCAGTCTGTCTGGAATGCTGGCGCTGTTAAGAATAATTGCAATTTTTAGACAAAGTGTAGTTATTGTGTTTTGGACTAGTGCCTGCTACCATGGTCCTGCTTGACTCACACTGCTAATATTACTGATTTTTTTTATTTTTTATTATTATTATTATAGTTATAGAAGTGAGAACAGAACTAGGACTGGGTTTGGTACATAAACTCTGCCTGCATACCATCTAGGCTATCTTATCTAATACAAATCATGTATCTGTTTTAGACTATTCGATTTTGTTACTGAAGTAATGTGTATGTGCAAATTTAGCTGTCATTAGATAGCCAGGATATTTTAGTGAAACAATGTTGGATGCATACTAAAGTTTGTGGCACCACATTGTGGAATCCATATTGCTCTGTGTACATAGGTTGATTATGCCATATTCTTCTTAACTCTGAGACTCCAAGCACCTCTATTTTTTCAATTCAGTTTTATTTGTATAGCGCCAATTTATAACAGAAGTTATCTCAGGACACTTTTCAAATAGAGCAGGTCTAGACCAAATGCCAATTTGATGCTCAAGTCTCTGTAATAGAATATGATGGTCAATGGTGTCAAATGCAACACTAAGATCTAACAATACAAGTACAGAGACAAGTCCATTGTCGGAAGCAATTAAAAGGTCATTATT